TACCCATCTTGTGGGCGGTAGTGGACAGGGTTACAGAGGCACATAATGGGCTCAGGGACTGAACCCCACAATTCATTTAGCTAAGCAAGTTACAATCTTGATGAGCTAGTTATAAAATTCAATACACATCGTCACATCAATGGGTTCGAGATCGACCACAAGAACAGTTTCTATATTAAGCAACTAACATATATGTAGAGCCTAGTGTCAAATCTGGTATTTCTACCAGGAATCAAGATGACAAAATTCGCTAACGATGACATTGGAACTACATCAGAAATTTTTTTTACTACTCTACTCTTCTCACTACTCTACTCTTCTCACTACTCTACTCTTCTCTTCTCACTACTCTACTCTATTTTTTACTCTTCTACTCTCACTACATCAGAAAAATTGACAAGTGAACAATGTAGAAATAATATGCCCCAGATGCTTTTCAAAATACTTTACTGGAATCTCTCCGTCTAGTAATTTAAAGAGTGGGACTCGATAAAATGAATCCTATGAGTTAAAAGCAACCACAACATGTTTTATTTAGGATTGAAGGTTAGGTTGTATTCTGCACTATATCTTTCACATATTCCTATCAAATTTTTCCATCGCTTCTTTGGTCGGTGCAGTCGAACTAGATCAGCAGCAAAACAGAACACATTGGCCTTAATAACATTACACACAGAGATCACACTAACGTGATGCACCAAATGAACAAATCCACAAATCCACGGGATCCAGTAAGTTCAGTAGAATTTCGGTTTCAACTCTTTTTACCCTGTCGTAGCTCAGTTGATTAAGGCAGTGTCTGGGATGCTCCCGGACGCAGGTTCGAATCCTCGTCACGGCCTTTGTGGATTTGTTCATTGGCCTTAATACTACCTATATAACAACCAGCTCTAACTTTTTAACAATGTATCACGATAGATAGCAAACAGAATTGGACTAAGAACAGCACATTGTTTGACCCCATTTTGTGGAGGACCACGAAATATACACAAGATAGGGTGTGATTGGTCGTAAGTGGATTTTTAAGAAATGAGGTTTAGTGACCTAATATATCCACCAGACATGAGTCTGGTGGATATTCTACAGAATATAAAAGCTTTTGTCATATTCTAAAGCTGTACAAACCCAAGGAGGGTGCGAGAGCAACCCGTCCTCTCAAAAAGAACGTCACTTTTCGCTGGTATGCGCGGCACTATGGCCAAATTTGGACGTAATTTGAAATGAAATCGACTCACAAAAGTGACGTTATGTTCCGTTTTCTGTTTGAGTCGTCCGGCGTACGCGCAGAGGTTATAAGAGGACACTTTAAATTAACGTTTTTCATAACGTTTTGAAACTTTATGAGAATTTCCTGCCCACCTAACCTATCAGAGGACCCTTAACTTACTGTTGTTGAAAAAAAAAAATCCCAAATTTATTTTCATTTTTTTTTTCATTTTCAAATTACGTCCAAATTCGGCCATACGGACAAACGGCCAAAAGCGACGTTCTTTTTAAGAGGACAGGCGCGTCTGGTCTCCTGTTTGCCTGCTTGTTCTTCTACAACTTGTCGGTTGCCTCTCCTCGACAGTTTTCCCTAAACTGCCATGTTGTAGGTGCTGCTGAAGTCACTACAGATGTTTAGGAGTAAGATATTTATGTTACCTTCTGCCATGTGTTTCGCTGCCTGGATACAGGCTGTGACTTCCACAACATGATGTGCTGATGTGCACTTACCCATTAATGTCGACGGAGTAGTGAGGTCTAGGGGCCTGATTCACGAAGCAGTTACGCAAGCACTTACGAACGTGTACATCTTTCCACAATCTTTGATGGCTTTGGTTACATTTATTAAACAGTTTACAAGCATGAAAACTTGCCAACCAACTGTTGTTATTGTTATAAACAGCCTCCTGGTGCTTCGGAGCTCATTAACTGTTTAATAATTGTAAACAAAGCCGCCAAAGATTGAGATGTACAGGTTCGTAAGTGCTTGTGTAACTTCTTCGTGAATCTAGCCCTAGCTCTTTGTGGCCCGCCTACTAGCCTTGAACCTGTTGCGTTTTAACCTGACTGAAATTCTTTGTTGAATTGGGCCATAAAGTTATAGATGGAGATGGCTTTCACACAATCCTTTGGTAGAGCATTCCACTTGTTAACTAACCTAGTTAACAAGTACATTCTTACATTTCTTCGGCTCATTTGCGTCTCCACCTGTGTCCTCTTGTCCTGCTTTCTTTCAATCTGAAGAGACCATTCTTGTCCACCTTATCTATGTGTCATACGCTAGTTGGTGAGAGGTTGAGGGTGGAAAATATGAATTGTTATTTAGGTTGTGAATTGCGATGGTTTCTGACAGCATCTGAGTAGAACATGTTGGTGGTTGTTGGAAAGATGGAGTGTTAAGATTGTAAAGTTGAGTCCGAGGTTGGCCGTTTCGTAAATTTTAGAGTACATATTCCCTGACTTGGCAGGTGTTGTGTACAATAGAGTGGGCCATCCCAGTTCTATGTTGCTACAGTCAGTCCGTAAGTGGCTGTTCAGAGCGCACACAACACTATTGGGACTCTTTGCAAGATTTTACCAGAGTTTACCTGAAAGGGCCCAATATCTCTCTAGTGGCCTCGATGAAAACAGGAAGCCGGCGGCTTATCAATGGTCCCCTCCTTTGTACTAGTAATTTTATTGAGCTTGATCTTTATTTCCAGCAGTGTTTTGACATTAACTACTGTGTCCGGGTGGCCCCTGGCTTGTGAACTACTGTGTCCTAAGCGACCCAGGCTTTGGCATGAGGGATTACTGTGACCTGGAGGTCCCAGGCCTTGACAGGAGGGATTACTGTGACCTGGAGGTCCCAGACCTTGTACAGTAGGGATTACAGTGACCTGGTGGTCCCAGACCTTGTACAGGAGGGATTACTGTGACCTGGAGGTCCCAGGCCTTGTACAGGAGGGATTACTGTGACCTGGAGGTCCCAGGCCTTGTACAGGAGGGATTACTGTGACCTGGAGGTCCCAGGCCTTGTACAGGAGGGATTACTGTGACCTGGAGGTCCCAGGCCTTGACAGAAGGGATTACTGTGACCTGGTGGTCCCAGGCCTTGTACAGGAGGGATTACTGTGACCTGGAGGTCCCAGGCCTTGTACACGAGAGACTACGGTGACCTGGTCCCAGGGCTTGTACAGTAGGGATTACTGTGACCTGGTGGTCCCAGACCTTGTACTGGAGGGATTACTGTGACCTGGAGGTCCCAGACCTTGTACAGTAGGGATTACAGTGACCTGGTGGTCCCAGACCTTGTACAGTAGGGATTACAGTGACCTGGTGGTCCCAGACCTTGTACAGGAGGGATTACTGTGACCTGGAGGTCCCAGGCCTTGTACAGGAGGGATTACTGTGACCTGGAGGTCCCAGGCCTTGTACAGGATGGATTACTGTGACCTGGAGGTCCCAGGCCTTGTACAGGAGGGATTACTGTGACCTGGAGGTCCCAGGCCTTGTACAGGAGGGATTACTGTGACCTGGAGGTCCCAGGCCTTGTACAGGAGGGATTACTGTGACCTGGAGGTCCCAGGCCTTGTACAGGAGGGATTACTGTGACCTGGAGGTCCCAGGCCTTGTACAGGAGGGATTACTGTGACCTGGAGGTCCCAGGCCTTGTACAGGAGGGATTACTGTGACCTGGAGGTCCCAGGCCTTGTACAGGAGGGATTACTGTGACCTGGAGGTCCCAGGACCTTGTGCAGGAGGGACTACTGTATCCTGGAGGTCCCAGACCTTGGCAGAAGGGACTACTGTATCCTGGAGGTCCCAGACCTAGGGCTGTATATTTACATAAAAGTGTCACATTTACATATTTTACGACGAACGTGCTCGCTGTATTGTAAAATAAACTGCATTGTACATTTCTGACCCTTCTCACTTTTTAATGAATTGCATTTAACATTAAAAAGTCACATCTGGAACTCTTATCATCAAGTAGCCTAAGAATGCACAAAATGAGAATTATAATGCACGATTCCTGTTTCACTGGGGCTCATCTTTTTCCCCTTCATTGTAATATCTTTAACGTTCAGACTTCAGTTTATAAGTAGCTTATTCTTGGTAATATTTATCATTGTACTCTAATCATTATTTCTTCAGATTAAACATCATAAAATCTTCACTTTCTTCAGATTAAAAATCATAAAAGCTTCACTTTCTTCAGATTAAGAAACATCATAAAAGCTTTCATTTGGGAATCTCTTCTACCAGAGATTATCAGAGAGAACTTTAGCATCTGTATCAAGATTGTGGGTGACAGCTGTATCAAGATTGTGGGTGACAGCTGTATCAAGATTGTGGGTGACAGCTGTATCAAGATTGTGGGTGACAGCTGTATCAAGATTGTGGGTGACAGCTGTATCCAGCAGGTGGTTGACAGCTGTATCAAGCAAGTGGGTGGACAGCTGTATCAAGCAGGTGGTGGACAGCTGTATCAAACAGGTGGGTGACAGCTGTATCAACCAGGTGGGTGACAGCTGTATCAAGCAGGTGGGTGGACAGCTGTATCAAGCAGGTGGTTGACAGCTGTATCAAGCAGGTGGGTGACAGCTGTATCAAACAGGTGGTTGACAGCTGTATCAAGCAGGTGGGTGACAGCTGTATCAAGCAGGTGTATCAAACAGGTGGTTGACAGCTGTATCAAGCAGGTGGGTGACAGCTGTATCAAACAGGTGGTTGACAGCTGTATCAAGCAGGTGGCTGGACAGCTGTATCAAGCAGGTGGTTGACAGCTGTATCAAGCAGGTGGCTGGACAGCTGTATCAAGCAGGTGGTTGACAGCTGTATCAAGCAGGTGGTTGACAGCTGTATCAAACAGGTGGTTGACAGCTGTATCCAGCAGGTGGTTGACAGCTGTATCAAGCAGGTGGGAGGACAGCTGTATCAAACAGGTGGGTGACAGCTGTATCAAACAGGTGGGTGACAGCTGTATCAAGCAGGTGGTTGACAGCTGTATCAAACAGGTGGTTGACAGCTGTATCAAGCAGGTGGGAGGACAGCTGTATCAAACAGGTGGGTGACAGCTGTATCAAACAGGTGGTTGACAGCTGTATCAAGCAGGTGGTTGACAGCTGTATCCAGCAGGTGGTTGACAGCTGTATCCAGCAGGTGGTTGACAGCTGTATCAAACAGGTGGTTGACAGCTGTATCAAGCAGGTGGTTGACAGCTGTATCAAGCAGGTGGTTGACAGCTGTATCCAGCAGGTGGTTGACAGCTGTATCCAACAGGTGGTTGACAGCTGTATCAAGCAGGTGGTTGACAGCTGTATCAAACAGGTGGTTGACAGATGTATCAAGCAGGTGGTTGACAGCTGTATCAAACAGGTGGTTGACAGCTGTATCAAACAGGTGGTTGACAGCTGTATCAAGCAGGTGGTTGACAGCTGTATCAAACAGGTGGTTGACAGCTGTATCAAACAGGTGGTTGACAGCTGTATCAAACAGGTGGTTGACAGCTGTATCAAACAGGTGGGAGGACAGCTGTATCAAGCAGGTGGGTGACAGCTGTATCAAGCAGGTGGGTGACAGCTGTATCAAGCAGGTGGTTGACAGCTGTATCAAGCAGGTGGGTGACAGCTGTATCAAACAGGTGGTTGACAGCTGTATCAAACAGGTGGTTGACAGCTGTATCAAGCAGGTGGTTGACAGCTGCAAAATATAAACAAAAGCTTCCATTTTGGGAATCTCTTCTACCAGAGATCATCCGAGAGAACTTTAGCAGCTGTTTCTATCAGGTGGGTGACAGCTGCCAGGTGTTCAGCAAAGGTTCTCCACAGGTGTGGCCGGTCCTCCTCTGTTGCCTCTTCAATATCAGCGAGTGTATCAACTAATCCAGCAAATGCTGTGCCGGAATATGCATCGTTCTTGCTGGGGGCGGTTACTACATGGCTGTATAGGATAGAGAAATCTGTGTTAAGTACTGGTAGAATCTAATCATTTTAGAATTACTGTAATTTAGAATCTAATCTTATATAATTTTAGAATTTAACTTAAACTAATCTTATTAATCTTATATATATATATATAGTTTAAGAATCTAATTTATAATCTTATCTTATTAATCTTGTATATCTAATTTTAGAATCTAATTTAGAATCTAATCTTATTAGATTACTAATAGTAATCTAGTCGAAATAACCTAAGCAGAATTCAACTCAAGGGATGAGATATTCAACAAGTTTCTTGCAAGTACTCATCATTTGTATTGTTTAGTGGATCATATAATAAATGTAGTCTTTAGGGTGGAAAATATATATATATATATATATATATATATATATATATATATATATATATATATATATATATATATATATATATATATATATATGCGAACAAGCTTGAATGTTCCCCAAGCATATATGCAACTGAAAACTCCACACCCCAGAAGTGACTCGAACCCAGACAGCCAGGGACACTATACAACTGGCGTAATTGGTACCTTAATCACTTGACCAACCGTGACCATACAAAAGACAATGATAGCCAAGGCTATTTTCCCCACTGTCCCGATAACACTTGGTGGTGACTTGGGCATAGTTATTTCATCAAATCACCTTATGGTCTTTTGTACGGTCACCGTTGGTCAGGTGGTTAAGGTACCAGTTACACCAGTTACTAAGTGCCCCCTGGCTGTCTGGGATCGAGTCACTTCTGGGGTGTGGAGTTTTCAGTTGCATATATGCCTGGGGACCATTCAAGCTTGTTCGCATTTGTGTTGCTCACGTGGCCTCACAAAATAAGTTGATTTGATGAAATCAATGATGCGTGACCAAACATTTACAATGCTAACCTGCATATATATTTTCTTCTGTCCTCCATGGACAGGGTTAGAGACCTGATAAACATATAGTTCGTATGAGTGTAGTTTACTAAAGCTACTGTTTCTCAAGATGGTTCATGATTTAGTGTTACTATTACTAAGAAGAGTTACAGATAATGATAGGAACAAAAAAGGAAGTATTAGCGACATTTGACGCTTACCAAAAAAGATACTTACTTCAATTCTGGCTGTCCCGGAAGGCCCCGGGGATCAATGAATGCTCTTTCCACCATCATCAATTGATCATTGACACGACGAACAGCCAGAGGACTGAAATGTTGAAATTTGAGTAAAAATACAATCATAAATTATTTTTCAACCATTTCTGATCTTTGAAAAAATGATTATAAAATGTTAAATGCAAATATAAATCACAAATTTACAACTGTCAAGGTATGAAGTGCAAGTTATTTACAATACGAAATATAATCAGAAACTATTTTCATTTAATAGTTCACTTGCCATGTGAAATAACTTGGTATATATATATATATATATATGTGACAATATATAAGTATATAAATACATATCAGAAGGTCAAATATATATATATATATAATATATATATATATATATATATATATATTAGCTTTACAGAGGTATAGCCCCTATAGGTTGTGCCCTTAAACTATCGGAATATGTATCTTGAGGTTATCTTGAGATGATTTCGGGATTAGCATCCCCGCGGCCCGGTCTCCATTTTGTTACACACCCCTAGGAAGCAGCCCGTGGCAGCTGTCTAACTCTCGGGTACCTATTTATTGCTAGGTAAACAGGGGGGACATCAGGGTGGAAGAAACTCTAGTCCAGTTGTTTCCGCCTCTACCGGGGATCGAAGCCGGAACCTCAGGACTATGAATCCCGAACGCTGTCCACTCAGCCGACAAATCACCAACAATTTGGATACCATAAAAATAAATCTTGTCACATAGCCGGGGAAATTCGACAGCGGGGAAGGTAAACTGGAGTGAATAATGAAACAGCAAGTCCCTATACGAGGTAAGTATTACCCCTAAAACTGTAAACCTATCCTTATTACTGGTATACCCTACCCCCCCCCCCTTACACAAGGTTATTTTTCAATTTGCTTCTCAGGTGTAGAAGAATATAAGAAATATAGAGAACATTTGTTCTAGATTAAATATGCGAGCCATTAATCATTACGAACTCTAATGACCCGAACAGGATTCAAGCCATTGCCGTCCAGGATCACCCTCAAGCTGTAATCACACCAATGAGGGCGATGAGTCACAATAACGTGGCTGAAGTATGTTGACCAATCCACACACTAGAAAATGAAGGGACGACGACGTTTCGGTCCGTTTTGGACAATCGACTTGAGAATGGTCCAGGACGGACCGAAACGTCGTCATCCCTTCACCTTCTAGTGTCTAGTGTGTGGATTGGTCAACACACCAAAGAACGTCAGACGATCATATTTGCCTGTCGAATATACAAACACACAGGTATTACATATATTTGAAATATGCCTATATCAAGTATCACTAACCTTTTCAGGTCTAAAGACTCCAGCGCTTTATTGAAGGTAAAAACACTCGTATTGAACATCTGTCCAGCATCAGTAAAGTACTCTGAAATTAAAAATCATTATTAAAGCCATATATGGAACTCCCTTGTTAATAAAGAACCACATCACTCAATATATTGTCACATAATTACCCTCATTATCCGGGCACTGGCTTCTCCTAAACAGTCATTGATAATGCTACGTCCATTCAGGGGTTCATGTAAATTTCCCATGTGTACATTGTATCATAAAAGTGCATCATATTGTGAAACACCACAGTGTGTTTGTTTGTTTGTAGCATTCCAGTACCAGCCCTTGTGCCGACTCATTGTATAATTATTGAGACGGTAGTTTATGAGACTTTCAGCGCCGTGGAGAGGGGGGACCTGCTGCCTGGGTAACAACTTCTCCCCCGAATCAACCTACCCTGGCTTTTGTGCCCTGGTGAGGCCACTCCAAACCGACAACCGGAACGCAACTCCATAGCCTCCTGAGACTGATGGATGCCTACTACTAGTTTATGATCACGCCACCCGCCCCCTCTAGGGAGTCAAGCTAGTCAAAGAACATATCGAGAAAGTGTAAGATGATACAAGATCAAACTGAGTTCACCTCGTTCTTCGAGGCAGAGGGAGGCATAGCAAATTATAGAGGAAGGCATAATATCATACTCTCTTAATCTAGCTACACCTGCACTAACTAACTGTCTTACAATGTTCTCTATTCGGATTAAGTTACAAGGAATAAAATAAAGTAATATTATCATGGTCATTATTTCACCTTTATACTGATTACTGAAGGTAAACTTTACATCTCCTACCACCTGACACCCCCCCACTTCAAGACCACCCCCACACCTGACCCCATATAGACCACCACACACACCTGACCCCGTCAAAATCACCTACACCTGACCCTGTTAAGACCACACACACCTTACCGAACAAAGAACATCAGCAAGAAAGAGTATAGAGTACAGTGGCACCTCGATTAACGAGCGGCTCTATCTACGAGCATTTCGAGTAACGAGCGAGCCACTCGCAGAACATTTGTCTCTACTAGCGAGCTTTTCCCTGATTAACGAGCGTTTCCGCTGGTTCTCAGACACCTTTTACGACAGTTTTGTTGTTGTTTCGCAAGACGAGTTTTCCACATGACGAGCTCGGTGCCGGAACGGATTAAACTCGTTAATCGAGGTGCCACTGTATAATGAAACAAACAGGAAAGGTTTTTCCACTTGCCCCCTTGCATGTTATTGAAAAGTGATGCTTAAGATGATAGAAGTAGGATCCTTTGATTGTTTCAAGCGTAGGTTAGACATATATCTGAATAAGCAACAATTATCACAAAAACACTGATCCAAGTATGCAGAAAAACCACATGTGAAAAATAGAGAATGTTTAACGCGTTTTAAGCTAATTCGCTTTCATCAGAGCAAAGTAGAATGAAACTACTTTGCTTTCATTCATTCATTCAAAGTTCATTCTACTTTGTTCTGATGAAGGCGAATTAGCCGAAAACGCGTTAAGCATTCTCTATTTTTCACATGTTTTTTTTTGCATATCTGAATAAGATTGGGTGGATATAAATAGGAGCTGCCTCGTATGGGCCAATAGCCCTTCTGCAGTTACCTCCATTTTTATGTTCTTAAGATTTTTTTTTTTTTTTTTTTTTTTTTTTTTTTTTTTAAGATATATACAAGAGTTGTTACATTCTTGTAGAGCCACTAGTACGCGTAGCGTTTCGGGCATGGTCCCTGGAATACGATCCCCGCCGCGAAGAATCGTTTTTTCATCCAAGTACACATTTTACTGTTGCGTTAAACAGAGGCTACAGTTAAGGAATTGCGCCCAGTAAATCCTCCCCGGCCAGGATACGAACCCATGACATAGCGCTCGCTGAACGCCAGGCGAGTGTCTTACCACTACACCACGGAGACTGTAAGATGAGAAACATAAATGAACACACTTACAAATAACTCCAATTTCCATACTTAGCGTAATATTTTGCGACTGGATAAGTTCCCCATAGCGCTGAGCGATATGGTCCTGAGCTCTCTGGATAAAAGCCGCATATGTGACCAAAGAAAACGGGAGTACCTGAGGTTTAAAAAACAAATAGAACGTTCGTATAAACTTGAGTAATGAAAAGTTTATCATATACTATAAGTTCAAATTCAGTCCTTATTATAATAAGACTGTAAAACAAATCTTATAAAAGGTTATAAGGTGTACCTTAGACTCTGAGAGTACCACAGCGAGGTCTCCCCACATGGCTGCCACGGCAGAGTGGAAGTGGAAGCCTTTGTCATATATTTCATCCACCACAGCGAAGGTTTCATACAGTGTGTGGTACATGGGTTCTCCAATGGTTCTCTGTAGGAATATTTATAAGTATATTGGATTTGTGAGAGTACACAACATTGGTCTTCTTACATTGTTGCAAAACTACTAACACGTATTTAACTTTTCTAGATTATTGTTATACATTAAAAGTTTCCAATTTTAGAACTTCACTACACTTCATAAAATTCAGCTACCCTTCTTGCTCTGCAATATTTTAATGGTGGTAAATATTGAGTAAAACCTAAATACACATTAGAATAAAACGGTTTAAGAGCTTCCCAGGACGTAGGCGGCCTTTTCCCGCCAAAACCGTTAGTCATGACGTCCGTTGGGCAAAACCATTCAAATGCAAAACAATATTTTTATTATGCAGACAAAAAAGCACAATACCGTGGCTAAAAATTAATCATCAATCCAAAATTGATGTGAATAATACAATATGTTTCTGTGAATAATACAATTTCTCCCACCCTACCCATCAACATTGGTGTTCCCCAGGGCAGCATACTTGGCCCTCTCCTCTTTCTCATCTACATTAATGACCTTCCAAATGCCTCCCAACACCTCAAACCAGTTCTATTTGCTGACGACACAACCTTCATTTACTCCAGTCCTGATCCCCTTGCTCTAAATGCCACAGTAAATACTGAGCTAAATAAAGTCCATCTGTGGCTAACTGCCATCAAACTCACCCTTAACATTGACAAAACCTTTTATATTCTGTTTGGCAATAAATCCTCTAATCAAATAAATCTCAAAATAAACAATACCCAAATTTGTAACAAATTAGATGGCAAATTCCTTGGCATTCTCATTGACCACAAGCTTAATTTCCAGGGACACATTCTAAACATATCAAAAAAAGTTTCAAAAACTGTGGGCATTCTTTCTAAGATCAGATATTATGTACCACGCCCTGCCCTGGTGACTCTCTATTACTCCCTTATCTATCCATATCTCAACTATGGTATTTGTGCTTTAGCTCTACTACCCAAAATCACTTACGTCCTCTAATTACTCAACACAAAGCTGCTATTAGGACAATATCCAATGCTGGCCCCAGACACCACTCGGTACCCCTACTTAAATCTCTGAATATGTTAGACATTAAGTCACTGCACATTCTCTCATGTGTATTATACATATATAAAACGCTAAACTATAATGCCAATCCTGATCTCAAAAGCTTCATAGAAGGTTGTATCAGAACCCATGAGCATCACACCAGAAATAAATACAGTTTTGATATTCCTAGAGTACGACTTAATCAAACTAGAAATGCTCTACAAATCAAGGGGCCCAGAATGTGGAATAACCTTCCCAACCATGTTAAAGACTGTACCTCTCTCAACCAGTTTAAGTTAACAGCGAAGCTATACCTAATAAATTCCCTGTAACCTACCTTACCCTTCTATTGTCAACCAATGTCTGTTTTTTTCTTTAAAGAGCGCTGTTTGTCGACATAATTGTATTTGTGCTGCTTTTTCATCTATGTTTTCATTTCTTGTTTTCATTCTACTCATTATGCTCAATTAGTATTAAGCTTGTCATTTAAGTTTATCATGCCCGAAACGCTTTGCGTAATAGTGGCTTTAGGCATTGTATGTACTAGCTATACCTATAAGTTAAACAATCCTTGTAAATATTTATTGTATGTATGTACCTTACCTAAATAAAATTGTATTGTATTGTATTGTTTAATTTGAAAATTACGGAATTGACAAATTTTCGATCCATCCCGAACCATTATCAAGTACTGTAAAGACTTAATACTGATGAAGAGTGGACAGAAAAGTCTTCACTTCCATTATTTTCAGATCTGCAGGTTGTGTCTGATAGTTGTATTTATTTTAATTATATTCAGGTACCGCCTCTTATTGCAATTATGGGGCCGTTTTTTTTTTTTTTTTTTTTTTTTTTTTTTTGAGATATATACAAGAGTTGTTACATTCTTGTACAGCCACTAGTACGTGTAGCGTTTCGGGCAGGTCCCTGGAATACGATCCCCGCCGCGAAGAATCGTTTTTTCATCCAAGTACACATTTTACTGTTGCGTTAAACAGAGGCTACAGTTAAGGAATTGCGCCCAGTAAATCCTCCCCGGCCAGGATATGAACCCATGACAAAGCACTCGCGGAACGCCAGGCGAGTGTCTTACCACTACACCACGGAGACCGTTGCCTCGAAGGAGAGAATTTCTTTTTTGGTTTTTGCTTAAATTGATGCAGCACATTTGCAAGTAAATAATTTGTCAAAATCCTTTGTTTGAGAAACTGTGTATGGAGTCTGCCTTCATCACCTGACTCTGTCTATCTTCCTCTGTCTATCTCCTGCCTCTCTGTCTCTCTCTCTCTGGTTTCTGTGCCTGATTCTTTGTGTCTTATTTTCTCGGTCTGTCCATCTGTCTCTCTCATTCTGTATGTCTATCTGTCTCAGTCTATTATCTATTATGTCGCTGTGTCTATATTTCTGACTGTCTATGTCTTAGTCTGTTGTCTAAGTCTATCCGCTTGCCTCAATGTCTGACACTCTCTGTCTGTCTATCTGACTGTTGCTGTCTGCCTCTACCCCTGTTTGTGTCTCATCCTTTGTGTTCTACGTATATTGATATATACATATATTATATACATATAATGCACATTTATATGTTAAAGAGAGAGAGAGAGAGAGAGAGAGAGAGAGAGAGAGAGAGAGAGAGGGAGAGAGAGAGAGAGAGAGAGAGAGAGAGAGAGAGAGAGAGAGAGAGAGAGAGAGGAGAGAGAGAGAGAGAGGAGAGAGAGAGAGAGAAGAGAGATAGACAGAGAGAGAGAGAGACACCAGAGAGAGAGAGAGAGAGAGAGAGAGAGAGAGGGAGGGAGAGAGATAGAGAGAGAGAGAGAGAGAGAGAGAGAGAGAGAGAGAGAGAGAGAGAGAGAGAGAGAGAGAGGGAGAGAGAGAGGGAGAGAAAGAGAGAGACAGAGAGACAGAGACACAGAGAGAGAGAGAGAGAGAGAGAGAGAGAGAGAGAGAGAGAGAGAGAGAGAGAGAGAGAGAGAGAGAGAGAGAGCAAGAGAGTGAGAGCGAGAGACAGAGACGCTACATATCACTACAATAGCCATAAGGTCTTCCGACCACAAGACCCAGCAATCAGCCAACTAACAGAAGAACAATATACGTTTTTAGTTATATCTAATGGTTTTTAAGAACGTCAGAAATACGTATTTATGTCAAAAGTTACAAAATTACCTTTGTGGCACCATTTAAAAACGTCCACAAACGTTCTGTGTTTGCTGGGTAAAAGAATATTCAACAAAATCTTAACAACATATCCCCCTCCTATTCCCCCGGAAGCACCTACATTGTCATGGGTGTACCGAGTATCCATACAGGGTATACCCAGATTGTGCTGGAAGCCCTTGTAGTCACTGCCTGACCCAATGGCCTGCAGGAGAGGGGTGTCAGGCTGTAGGGGGTCTGGCCTCCGAGCTGCCCAGGTGGCGTACACATTCTTGCGACCAGCCATGACTTCGACTGGATCTGGATTAGGGATCTGGAATAAAGGGGGGATAATTCAATATATATATATATATATATATATATGTACATGCAACTGACAATCGGAAAACACTGATCATACATATGGGGGAAAAAAAAACTTTATTTTTGCCCCAATTTTCCCAACAAATATATCATTTTTTCTTCCGATATGTTAGAAAGCTATGTAATAAGAATGGTAACAATAGCAAAGTCTCCTCTCCATAGTGTTGATCGTCCATGTTGACGTGCTCAGGTGCTACTGCTGCCACCTGAGTCTATATGGACGCTCCGGGACACTATGCACATTCCAGGACTCTCTAGACACACTCCAGGACTCTTTAGGGATGCTCCTGGGGACTCTGTGGACGTTCCAGGACTCTCTAGACACTCCAGGACTCTTTAGGGATGCTCCTGGGGACTCTGTGGACGTTCCAGGACTCTCTAGACACTCCAGGACTCTTTAGGGATGCTCCTGGGGACACTATGCACATTCCAGGACTCTCTAGACACACTCCAGGACTCTTTAGGGATGCTCCTGGGGACACTATGGACGTTCCAGGACTCTCTAGACACTCCAGGACTCTTTAGGGATGCTCCTGGGGACTCTGTGGACGTTCCAGGACTCTCTAGACACTCCAGGACTCTTTAGGGATGCTCCTGGGGACACTATGGATGTTCCAGGACTCTCTAGACACTCCAGGACTCTTTAGGGATGCTCCTGGGGACACTATGGACGTTCTAGGACTCTCTAGACACTCCAGGACTCTTTAGGGATGCTCTGGGGACACTAGGGACGCTCCAGGACTCTAGACACTCCAGACTCTTTGGATGCTCCAGGGGACACTATGGACGTTCCAGGACTCTCTAGACACACTCCAGGACTCTTTAGGGACGCTCCAGGACTCTCTGTGGATGCTCCAGGACACACTATGGACGTTCCAGGACTCTCTAGACACTCCAGGACTCTTTAGGGATGCTCCTGGGGACACTATGGACGTTCCAGGACTCTCTAGACACTCCAGGACTCTTTAGGGATGCTCCAGGGGACTCTGTGGACGTTCTAGGACTCTCTAGACACACTCCAGGACTCTTTAGGGACGCTCCAGGACTCTCTGTGGATGCTCCAGAACACACTATGGACACTCCAGGACTCTCTAGACACACTCCAGGACTCTTTAGGGACGCTCCAGGACTCTCTGTGGATGCTCCAGGACACACTATGGACACTCCAGGACTCTCTAGACACACTCCAGGACTCTTTAGGGATGCTCCAGGACTCTCTGTGGATGCTCCAGGACACACTATGGACGTTCCAGGACTCTCTAGACACACTCCAGGACTCTTTAGGGATGCTCCAGGACTTTCTGTGGATGCTACAGGACACACTATGGACGTTCCAGGACTCTCTAGACACACTCCAGGACTCTTTAGGGATGCTCCAGGACTCTGTGGATGCTCCAGGACACACTATGGACGTTCCAGGACTCTCTAGACACACTCCAGGACTCTTTAGGGATGCTCTAGGACTTTCTGTGAATGCTACAGGACTCTGTGGATGCTCCTGGAGTTTATTATAGGGGGGGGGGGCTCTGACACGTTGTAATACGTCATAAAACCGTTATAACAAGATGAAACAACATTCTAATATATCATAAAAATGCTATGACAAGAGGTAACGTTTTAATACATCATAAAAACGTTTTAACAAAATGTAACATTCTAATACGTCATAAAAACGTTATAACAAAATGTAACAACGTTCTAATACGTCATAAAAACGTTATAACCAGATGAAACAACTTTATTAAAAGTTGAAATAAGGGAAACATAGCGACAGTCTAATGCACTTTGTGTGTTTTCAGGGCAAGAATGATGTAAACTTTGAGTATATATATACACATCAAGACAGTGTATGAATAGCATAAACATTTATCTAAAAATAAATTGAATTTAAATCAGGTAATGTAAATTACCTGAATACACCATTTAAATTGAATTCAAACATACGTCATAACCTGTCCATGCTGATTATATGCATATATTGAGAACAATATTGTATGCATAGGGGGTATAATATGCACATACTAAATATGTGAATATAGCGACAATCGGTAGGATGAAAGGGAAAAAAATATTACCTTTTTCGCACTCTCGAATACAGCATCAGCGAGGAGAGGCGAGGACTTGGTGCGCAGTGTGTAGTTACCTGAAAATTGAGCATTTATAGAATAAAAATAATAATAATAATACCTTTTGCGGGCTCACCATAGCCCGTGCTACTTGGAGCTTTTTGTTCTAGGTAGCAAATCTTTAACAACAACAACAACATAATAATAATAATAATAATAATAATAATAATAATAATAATAATAATAAGAATAATAATCAGAGATTGTCTAAGGCGTGTGCGTGGGAATACCTAGCACATAGATTCGAACCTACATCACAGGTTATATGAATTATCTAAATAATAATTCATTGTGTCGGGGGACAGGAAGCCAGTGTGTATTCATACACGTTAGGCTTATATCAAGGTCCATAGTATACTCACCTAGTTGTGCTTGCGGGGGTTGAGCTCTGGTTCTTTGGTCCCGCCTCTCAACCGTCAATCAACAGGTGTACAGGTTCCTGAGCCTACTGGGCTCTATCATATCTACACTTGAAACTGTGTATGGAGTCAGCCTCCACCACATCACTGCCTAATGCATTCCATTTGTCAACCACTCTGACACTGAAAAAGTTCTTTCTAATATCTCTGTGGCTCATTTGGCGACTCAGTTTCCACCTGTGTATGAGAGTGTGTGTGAGAAAGAGAGAGAGAGAGAGAGAGAGAGAGAGAGAGAGAGAGAGAGAGAGAGAGAGAGAGAGAGAGAGAGAGAGAGAGAGAGAGAGAGAGAGAGAGAGAGAGAGAGAGAGAGAGAGAGAGAGAGACACACACACAGACAGAGAGAGAGACACACACAGACAGAGAGAGAGACAGAGAGAGAGAGACAGAGAGAGAGAGACAGAGAGAGAGAGACAGAGAGAGAGAGACAGAGAGAGACAGAGAAAAAGAGAGAGACAGAGAAAGAGAGACAGAGATCTGTTAAAGTGCTAGATGCTTAGACTCACCTTCTATTGCCATGTCAACATTGAGGTAAGCTACAGCCTTGTCAGACAGTTGTTTGGCGAACTGTTGCGTCCACTCTGTTGAGCCCACAGTCATGTACTCCTCGGCGCCCCATCCACAGAACACCAGAGAACGTCTGGGCCGCCAACCTGTGAGGACATCAGTCAATATTAACCTGACCACACACTAGAAGGTGAAGGGACGACGACGTTTCGGTCCGTCCTGGACCATTCTCAAGTCGATTGTCAACCACTTGACTGTGGTTCACAATGGACTTGAGAATGGTCCACGACGGACCGAAACGTCGTCGTCCCTTCACCTTCTAGTGTGTGGTCTGGTCAACATACTTTAGCCCCGTTATTGTGACTCATCGCCTGCATCAGTCATTATTGTACGGCTGACCTACCCTGCCCATCCCGCCAAACACACAACGAAACTACAACATTGCTACGACGTTCGAACAACTTTCAACACTTAAGTTGTAAAACTGTTCTAATATGTCATAAAAACGTTATAACAAGATGTAACAACTTTTTTACAAGTTGTAACAAGTAGAAAATAGGGACAGTTTCGTTTTGTGTTTGCAGGGATGCTGGTACAATTTGTTATCTTACATAGAACGTCACATTTCGGCCGTATGCGTTAACTAAGGCCAAAAAGTGTCGTGCTAGGAAATGGAAGTGGTTCGCTAAAGTGAACCTTATCACCAATATTTATGGTTCATAATAAACAAATTCAACTAAAACTAGAAAATTCCTGTACTCTAGAAGATCTCAGTAAACTAGAGATAAACTGATGTGATCAAATGGTAATTAGATGACATATTTTTCTAGCATTCAGCCTGTGACACGCCATTTTAGAAGCACAAATGATGCACTTATTCTGTGTTGGCGATGAATGGCTTATACCAGTATCAAGTGTATTCATCAAAAGCGTCTAAATCATCTTGTTTCTTGCTGTATGGCACAAGCAGCTTGTTAAGACTCTTCGAGGTTTTCTCTAGACCTGGGGCCAGATTCACGAAAGCACTTACGCAAGCACTTATGAACGTGTCCATCTTTCCTCAATCTTTGACGGCTTTGGTTACATTTATTAAACAGTTTACAAGCATGAAAATTTGCCAATCAACTGTTGTTATTGTTATAAACAGCCTCCTGCTGCTTCGGAGCTCATTAATTGTTTAATAATTGTAAACAAAGCCGCCAAAGATTGAGAAAAGATGGACAGGTTCATAAGTGCTTGCGTAACTGCTTTCTTGAATCTGGCCCAAGGGTATTTTCTTGGCACACATGCAAACTTACTGGCCACCAAAACAATGTTCTTAAAGAATTATTTCAAGCATTTTTCATCCCCACTGGCACACCAGAGAAAATTTTTAGGAGATTATCGCCAATTTAAGCACACACACACACTCAAAGAAAAAAAGATTCACCATGCTTGCCCAAGACTAATGACTGAGCATCCCAAAAAGGAAGCCTGGTGGAGGACTGAGCCGTGGGGGATGCTAAGCCACAAAATCATCTCAAGATAACCTCAAGAAGATCCCTAAGATGCAACCCATAACAGTTGTCTGCCTCCTGAGCATTTATTTGCTGCTAGGTGAACAGAGGAATTAGGTGGTTAACTGGTTGCGCTGACTACTGGCGGTTATTGAGAAGCGTTTCACTAACATGTGACCACAAGATTAGAAATAGGTGGTTTTCAGTCTTCACATTTTACCTAACTAAAAACTAAATTTCTGTCATTTGCAAACCACCATTTGTTTACCGGGTGAAAAGGTAGATGAAGAACAAGCACGCAACACAGTTCGCAAATAACACAAATGCATAACATTCTGGTGTACGTTACTCACCCGTTTCGTTACGTAGATGAGCAAAGACCCGCGACAGTTCGAGCATAGCGGCTGTGCCGGAGTTGGGATCCAAGCCACCGAAGAGCCAAGCATCCAGGTGGTTGCCGAGAATAACGTATCTGTCTAAAAGCAAAGTATTTAAACGGAACTACATCAATGGAAATGCTTCTGTGCCATAGATGCAAATTTCTAAGAAATATTGAGATTTATAGCTACACTTGTTGACCACACCACACACTAGAAGGTAAAGGGACGACGACGTTTCAGTCCGTCCTGGATCATTCTCAAGTCGAAACATCGTCGTCCCTTCGCCTTGTAGTGTGTGGTCTGGTCAACATACTTTAGCCACGTTATTGCGACTCATCGCCTGCATATAGCAACACTTAATGTCAACATCTCTGGTTTGATTTATATTGACTCAAACCCGCACTAACCCGGTTCCTCGTGGCCTGTAATGACTCCCACAACATTGTAAGTGGTAGTTTGAGTGTTGTTATTGTTGACATCCACGTTGACTTTCCAGCCTGGGTGTGCGAGGCCTGGTCCAATGCGGTAAGTAAGGTTCAGGTTACCCTGCCAGCTTGCTGGAGCAACAGCTCCTCCCATACGGCTGCAAGCATGCAAATTGAAAAGGTTATAGGCCTCTGAAGACCAGGGGCAAGATTCAAGAAGCAGTTACACAAGCACTTACGAACCTAGGGCCAGATTCAAGAAGCAGTTACACAAGCACTTACGAATTTGGGGCCAGGTTCAAGAAGCAGTTACACAAGTACTTACGAACCCGGGGCCAGATTCAAGAAGCAGTTACACAAGCACTTACGAACCTGGGACCAGATTCAGGAAGCAGTTACACAAGCACTTACGAACCTGGGGCCAGATTCATGACGCAGTTACGCAAGTACTTACGAACCTGGGGCCAGATTCAAGAAGCAGTTACACAAGCACTTACGAATTTGGGGCCAGATTCATGACGCTGTTACGCAAGCACTTACAAACCTGTACATCTTTCCTCAATCTTTGACGGCTTTGGTTACATTTATTAAACAGTTTACAAGCATGAAAACTTGCCAATCAACTGTTGTTATTGTTATAAACAGCCTCCTGGTGCTTCGGAGCTCATTAACTGTTTAATAATTGTAAACAAAGCCGCCAAAGATTGAGAAAAGATGGACAGGTTCGTAACTGCTTCGTGAATCTAGCCCCAGGCTTATAAAATTGCTGCTAACTTTCAGATTTTTCCTGTTCACCATCTAATATGATTGACAGAAAATCTGCAAAGTCTGAATACAATCTAACTTGTAATCTAAGCAAGTGTACACTACAGTTTTTTTCCTGTTGGTAATCCATGAAGGCTAACTTAATAATTAATATCTAATATGTTTATTTGTGATGTGTGTCTATGTATGTATTAACACGTTGTACTGAATGGGGTGAGAATAGCTTGAGCTACCTCATCCCTTTGTGTGTACGTGGTTTTTTTACATTTTACCACCACATTTTACCACGCTTTACCTCAATAAACTCTTGTTATTCCAATTTCAATTTCAATTAATATCTAGTCCCCCCCCCAGGTCGAATTACTGACCCCGCCCAGGATGCAACCCCACAAGATACCTCCAGAGTACCTACTTACTGCTAGGTGAACAGAGAAATAGGAAAGTCCTATTGATAGGAATTAAAAAAAATAGAAAAAGAAACCGAATGATAGGAAATGCCCAACCATTTCTGTTCCATCTGGGATTCGAACCCAGAATTTTCTATTGTGTCTCGAGAACGAACCATACTATACTACCGGGACCCCGATATATGAGGAAGATTAAGACACACGAAGATAACAAGATGACCTGGACAAAGTAGCCATTTGCAACAAATGATTAGCAAAAGTTTAACTCAAATAAGTGCAAAATACGTGTAGGGATCAAGAGACCAAACACAATGTATCAAATAACTGAAATCCTTCACGAATCAGGTAGAGCGAAAGATTAGGAAGTTGATATCACACACAAACCGTTTCTTGAACATCAAAATGCTGTAGTCATCAGCAGCATATTCTGCTGAAACATAACCAACCTTCACAGTTGGCAACGTAACTACCTTCAGGAATTTGTGTTTCTTATATATAACATATTAGCAGTCCCCTGTGGTGTAGTGGTAAAACACTCGACCGGCTCTTCGCGAGCACTTTGGCCTGGCTTCGTATCCTGGCCGGGAAGGATTGACTGGGCGCCAATCCTTAACTGTAGCCTCTGTTCACCCAGCAGTAAAATGGGTACCTAGTTGTTAAACGATTCGGCGGGTTGTATTCCGGAGAACATAGGATTAACGACTTGCCCAAAACGCTACGCATGCTAGTGGCTATACTGTACAAGAATGTAAGAACTATTGTATATAAAAATAAATAAATAAATAAATATAACAGACCAATCTTGGAATGTGAGGCTCCAGCGAAGGGTCCATATCTAGTCAAACAAAAGGCAAAGTTTGAAAAAGTTCAGAAGTATGCTACCAGATTAGTTCCAGAACTGAGAGGTACGAGTTACAGGAAAATGCTACAGGAATTCAACCTCGCTTACCTGGAAGACAGAAGAGGAAGACATTATTTAGCAAATGCGAACACTAACAAGGGAACACAGATGAAAACTTAGTACTCAAATGAGCCACAGAGACATTAGAAAATATTAGTTTCTATGCCATACAAATGAACAAATGGAATGCACTATGAAGTGAGGAGGGAGAGGTAGACTCCATACAGTTTCAAATTTAGATACAGCCGTTGCTGTATCTAAAGTTGCTGATTGTGGCTGCTTTTCATTTTAATACAACTAAATAAAATGAAAACCTAATTTCTAAAATTTTGTTTTAAAGTAGTTTTCCATACAAAATTTTAATATTTAGGAAACTGAAGTGTATTAAATACTCCTCTTGAATGTTTAAACTTGTAAAGAAATGAGAATTCTAATGTTCATATCTCTTCCAATGACAAACATTCCTGAAAATATTAATACAATGTATATTTGTAGTGTTTGTTAATTAATAAAATAGAACAGTCAATGTTTGGTCTTGTAATAGCTCTAAGTATTAGCCAATTACACAAATTATGCTTGACTGACAGTGATTAAACCAATGTGCTGTAGTTTGCAATTATTATTTGGGCAAGATAAGCCTGTGTAAACTGTACCTCAGTATCTGCCAAGCATCGTCGTAGCTAATGCTTTGTGCTGGAATCTTTGGTAAGGATGCTTCTTCCTCTGGAATACGGAACGCACTCTCTGGGAAGATAATAGCAAGGTATTAATTACTTCAGTCCGTCCTCCTGCTGTTTCCCAATGTCAAGAAACTGTCGTACTAAAGTGCCCTTATCCTAACCTACCAGAGGACCCAAAATAGAAAACAGGATAGTACGTAAATTTTGCGACCCGCTACCGTTTGTTAGTACGACAGGTTTTGGCCTAAGGTAAACTATACGCCAAAACACGACGTTATATTAGCAGGACGGGCTGAACACTTAACTAACTGCTAACATCAACAAACAAAAATGTCAACTTTAGTGGGCAAAGTTACGAGGCTCGGTAATTTTTCATAAATTTCCAAAGCAATTACAATAATTTGAAAACTTGAGTCATTATTGTAATTTTCACTTCAGAAAAATCATGCTTGCAATTGCGGCAAATCGATCAGAACAAATATGTTTGTTTTTCCTTTTCAATATTATTTCTAGGAAATGCTTTGATGTTGATGCCTAAGTATTTATACTGGTCTTATCAACTTGTCTGAATCAGTATTGCTTTATTAGCAACACATCAATAGAGATAAGTGTGAACAGTAAAGTGAATGTATCAAAAGTAATCAGAACAGCCTATGTCAATCACATGACTAAAATATTTTATTTTGGAACAATAGTGGATATAAATAATGGGACAGAAGGGTTAAGTAATGTTAACCTGTAAATGGCAGCCTACATAATTGATGGGTGTTCACGTCAATTGAAATTTGTCATTATAGAATTTGGAATTGAACTCTGATCATAAATGCCTATAATTTCAAAGATTTAACATTATTACATAAGAAATAGATAAGCCTGAATAAAATTAATAATAAAATGTTATTTAAAAGATTATCATAAAACTTTAAATACTATTATTAAAAAAACACTTTACAAAATCAGGACTTTATATTTAAATAATTGAAATTTCAATTTGAAATTCTCTACATTATATCCAATTAAATATATGGAATTTTGTAAACAAAAGAGAATTAAAATTGGTTTAGAATTTCCCTAATGTTCAGTTCGAGTTTTATCATCAAAATAACTGTAAAATCTAGATATAGAATTCGCTTTAGCTTTAATTAGTAATTGACTTGAGTTCGGATTTATAAAAATTATTAATTTAGAGGCCAGAGATGTTGTATAACATATTCACTATTTTCTCAGGTTCACGAGGTCCCGCGAACTTGAAAACAAAAAATGATGAAGCAATCAAGGCAACTGACCTATGGCAGGATAAAATGGAGTAAGAGGGTCGCCATCCCCCAGTTTAACAGTCCCAAATGGGGAAGCAGATGGGGGCATGTAGGAGGAGTGTGGGTAGACGAAGTCAGGGCCTGCAGGAGCATAGTCTGCTGGATCACTGTACATTACAACTCCAAGGGCTCCACGCTCCTCTGCCATTCGTACCTGATAATGATGCCCGATTAATGCCCGAAACGCTTTGCGTAATAGTGGCTTTAGGCATTGTATGTACTAGCTCTACCTATAAGTCAACCAATCCTTGTAAAAATTTATTGTATGTATGTACCTTACCTAAATAAAATTGTATTGTATTGTATTGTATTTGATGTATTTATTTATATATACAAGAGTTCTTACGTTCTTGTACAGCCACTAACACGCGTAGAGTTTCGGGCAAGTTCTTAATCCTTATGTTCACCGGAATACGACTGTCAAATCGCTTAACAACCAATCACCCATTTTACTGTTGGGTTAAACAGAGGCTACAATTAAGGATTTGCACCTAGTAAATCCTCCCCGGCCAGGATACGAACCCAGGACAAAGTGCTTGCGAAACGCCCAGTGAGTATCTTGCCACTACGCCATGGGGACAAATCATGTTTATACATGCATACAAAATGAGTTACAAACAGTATGTTGTAAGCCACAGCTCTATCGATTTCTAGATAGAGCTAGTATATACTATGCCTAAAGCCACTAATACGCACAGCATTTCGGGCAAGAAGTGGGAAAAACACTTAAGACTAAGACTTATAACTGAGATCAAAAGCATGATTTGAGCTGAAATAGTGGGGAAAAAATAAAATAAATGTCATTATCTAATACACAAGGAAGAAAGCTTCCTAATTGCAGTATCTTTTTATACACATATATATATTCTGTCTTTTGTTAAAGCTCTTTTACACGAGATTTTACACATAAAAGAATATTTTAGTTTCAAACTCATAATATCAATCAAATAATATTGAAAAGTCATTTGTTGAGCAATACAGGAAAGATTTCAAACATTAACACTTATAATCGGCTCCTTAAATGTAGTTAATTTATTAGAGACCCCATCCTGTAAGCAGAAGGGAAGGGAACTATGAGGAGAAAACACCAAGCCATTACGACTATATAGCACTGGGAAGGGGTCAGGATAAGGATTTGGGATGGGACGGGGAAAAGGAATGGTGCCCAACCACTTGTGGATGGTCGGGGATTGAACGCCGACCTGCGTGAAGCGAGACCGTCACTCTAGCGTCCACCTACCGTCGCTCTACCGTCCATGGGAGCCAGTCGGCCGAGCGGACAGCACGTGGGACTTGTGATCCTGTGGTCCTGGGTTCGATCCCAGGCGCCGGCGAGAAACAATAGGCAGAGTTTCTTTCACCCTATGCCCCTGTTACCTAGCAGTAAATTAAGTACCTGGGTGTTAGTCAGCTGTCACAGGCTGCTTCCTGGGGGTGGAGGCCTGGTCGAGGACCGGGCCGCGGGGACACTAAAGCCCCGAAATCATCTCAAGATAACCTCAAGATAACCCCAAGTGGTTGGGCAGAAGAGCAATGTTATATTAACTGTAACTGACTGACTTATTTTATTTATTTATATACAAGATTGTATATAAATAATATATACAAGATATAAATACATATATTATTATATTATATTAGATTATATACATATAAATGTATATACAAGATTGTATACACATTGGCTTGTGAGAGTATATAACACTGGTGTTCTTAAATTCTTCCAATACCTATTCATATCTGGGTGCTGAAGTTCAGTATCTTCCCATCATTTTTTATTGCTAATGTTAACATTAACATTTGCAGTCTCCGTGGTGTAGTGGTAAGACACTCGCCTGGCGTTCCGCGAGTGCTTTGTCATGGGTTCATATCCTGGCCGGGGAGGATTTACTGGGCGCAATTCCTTAACTGTAGCCTCTGTTTAACGCAACAGTAAAATGTGTACTTGGATGTAACAACGATTCTTCGCGGCGGGGATCGTATTCCAGGGACCATAGGATTAAGGACTTGCCCGAAACGCTACGCGTACTAGTGGCTCTACAAGAATGTAACAACTCTTCTATATATCTCAAAAAAAAAAAAAAAAAAAAAAACATTGCCTCCCTAAAGGTGAATTTGGTTTTATGATTTACTTCCAAATAAAATGTAGTAGTGTAAATTTGTTCGTTAACGCCCATGAGTGGACTTTCTTTAATTCGTTATTTACAATGTTATTTAGTGTACATGTCCGTTTGAGTCTGAATATATTTATGTATTTTATTAATTTATTTATTTATTTAGATACAAGAAGGTACATTGGGTTTGTGAGCATACATAGCATAGTATTTACATTCTTGTAAAACCACTAGTACACGCAGTGTTTCGGGCAGGTCCTTAATCTAACAGATAATTTTAAGTAGGTCTTAAGATATGAAGGTAGTATCGTCAGCAAATAGTATAGGTTTAAGGATGTTAAAGACATTTGGCAAATCATTGATGTATATAAGAAATAGAGGTCTTAAGATGCTGCCTTGTGGCACTCCTATGGTTAATGGTAGAATGGGGAAGGTTATGTCATTGATGGCCACATATTAGTGTCATCAAGATATGACCAAATATAGTTCATAGCAAGGCCTCGGATTCAATAGTGATGAAGTTTAAGTAAGAGGTAGTTACAGTTTAACTACTACCACTACCACCCCCACAGGATGGGTATGGGGGTGAACTACCACCCACTGGATGGGTATGGTGGGCCCACTACCAACCACAGGATGCGTATGGGGTCCACTACCACCTACAGGATGGGTATGGGGGGGCCCACTACCAACCACAGGATGGGTATGGGGTTCACGACCACCCACAGGATGGGTATGGGGTGCATAATAAATTATGTTGTAGGCTTGTTCTTCAGCAAATTGCTTTCATCATTCTTGATAATATTTTATATATATAATGATGGCTAATATATCATACTGTATTCAGGACAATTTACAGAAGACGAAGAGATTTCTTGGGGATCTGTATATATAAATTATAAAAATAGGATATCTCCCAATACATACGAGTGCCATTTGCATTAAGTTAGAACATATGAGAACGAAATATTAAACTGGATCTTGCCATCTCCAAGTTATACTTAACTTTTTTTTTTTTTTTTTTTGAGATATATACAAGAATTGTTACATTCTTGTAGAGCCACTAGTACGCGTAGCGTTTCGGGCAAGTCCTTAATCCTATGGTCCCTGGAATACGATTCCCTGCCGCGAAGAATCGTTTTTTCATCCAAGTACACATTTTACTGTTGCGTTAAACAGAGGCTACAGTTAAGGAATTGCGCCCAGTAAATCCTCCCCGGCCAGGATACGAACCCATGACATAGCGCTCGCGGAACGCCAGGCGAGTGTCTTACCACTACACCACGGAGACTGCTCTCCGTGGTGAAAAATATATAACTCACAATATTAGCTCTGAAGATTTGGCCATAGCGAGCAATGACAATCTTGCCAGACAAGTCAATACCTTCTTCTGCTAGGAAGTCGAAGTCTTCTTCACGACCATAGTAAGCATACACAACGTCACCCTGGAGAGTATTATTGTATTATTCATGGTGATAAAATTTACTGTATATAAAATTAAGTTTTAGTAAATTTATACATTTCTTGGAGTAAATTGGTAACAAGGGAAGATAAATACTAAACAGTTTGCCGAAGACAAATACGAAACTGTTTGCCATGGAAGCGAACTACAGCTACTGGCCACAAAGTTTAAACTAACACCTTCATGTTACACCCCTGTTACCTAGCAGTAAATAGGTACCTGGGTGTTAGTCAGCTGTCACGGGCTGCTTCCTGGGGGTGGAGGCCTGGTCGAGGACCGGGCCGCGGGGACACTAAAAAGCCCCGAAATCATCTCAAGATAACCTCAAGATAACCTTCCTTACACTAGTTGGTGAAATAAAGGACTTGAACTATGACGTCAATCTCATGGCTGTACAAAATGCTGTACAAGATACTGTACAAAAAGAGATCTCCAAGGAGTGGATAGGAGACAGGAAAAGAGTGGACTACAACCGTCCCTTTAGAAACTGAAAAGAGACGGTCATAGTCTACTTTTACACTACTACCTATGGGCCTAAAGGCAGGGGTTGGTCATAGCCACAGGCCATTTTAGCGACTTATAGGTAGGGTACGACCTTTCCCAGGATACAACCCACAACAGTTGTCTACTCCCACCAGGTAATTAATTTTTTACCGAGTGAACAGGCATCAAATTAAAGAACATGTGTAAGTGTCTCGTTCCCTCACGGGAATTGAACCCAGAACCTTAAGGTTATAAACAGATTGTGTTAATCATTGACAACATATAACTTTATTCATGACCTGTTAACAAAACTTTATCTGAGAAATGTTAGTAAACCTGACTCCACTCGCTAAGGTAGGTTCCCACTCGCCAAGGCGGGTCCCCACTCGCCAAGGCGGGTCCCCACTCGCCAAGGCGGGTCCCCACTCGCCAAGGCGGATCCCCACTCGCCAAGGCGGGTCCCCACTCGCCAAGGCGGATCCCCACTCGCCAAGGCGGGTCCCCACTCGCCAAGGCGGATCCCCACTCGCCAAGGCGGGTCCCCACTCGCCAAGGCGGGTCCCCACTCGCCAAGGCGGGTCCCCACTCGCCAAGGCGGGTCCCCACTCGCCAAGGCGGGTCCCCACTCGCCAAGGCGGATCCCCACTCGCCAAGGCGGGTCCGCACTCGCCAAGGCGGATCCCCACTCGCCAAGGCGGGTCCCCACTCGCCAAGGCGGATCCCCACTCGCCAAGGCGGGTCCCCACTCGCCAAGGCGGGTCCCCACTCGCCAAGGCGGATCCCCACTCGCCAAGGCGGATCCCCACTCGCCAAGGCGGATCCCCACTCGCCAAGGCGGGTCCCCACTCGCCAAGGCGGATCCCCACTCGCCAAGGCGGATCCCCACTCGCCAAGGCGGATCCCCACTCGCCAAGGCGGGTCCCCACTCGCCAAGGCGGGTCCCCACTCGCCAAGGCGGATCCCCACTCGCCAAGGCCAGGATCCACTTACCGTCACATTACCGCGGGGAGCATACCCGAGGAAGGTGAAAGGCAATTCTGGCGAAGCTTCTTCGGGTGCATAAAGAGCCTTTTGCTTGGCTGCAGACACCCACGCGGCACTCCCCTCATCGTCAACTATGCGTACCTTCAACCAAGAGAGTTAATGTAACACAAACGTCAAATCAAATGTATTTGTAAATACAGGGACAAGAAAGTGACCATCATGCTGAACAAACATCTCGTATGCCCTCGCCTGGCCTACTGTACTCGTGCATGGAGACTCCACCTTCAAAAGGACATGAATGACATTAACATTGTCACTATTCTGCTTCCTGCTCCAAAAATGGGTTTAGCAAAAGAAATAGAATTAACGTAATTCACTTAGAAACAGAACATTAGTTCCAAACTAGGATGTTCATTTTCGGAAGCTTATGGTGGGACCATTTAAATAAAGTGCAGATATTAAGATAAAAACTAGTCTAATCTATCTGTTCATGTGAATTCTAAATTACATTTTGTTATGATTTTCTATATATCTGCCACTCCATTAAATAAAAATTGTTTTGAAATGAATTCCTTTGTCTGAAATATTTGAACCATTATTGTGGATAATGCATGACAATGCAATGCTAATACGATAACTGCTAATTACATAAATACTTGTGTTCAGATGCCTCTTATTCACTTTATGCCCATCTGGTCTTCCTAATTACAATTTCGGTATAACATGTGGTATATTATTAACTGTGAAATGTATGAAAAAAAGCTTCGGACTTACCCTGGAAACACAAACCGAAACTGTCTCTATTTTCCGCTTGCTACAACTTGTAATAAAGTTGTTACATCTTGGCTTAACGTGTTTATGACGTATTAGAACGTTGTTACAACTTGCTATATTGGTTGTTATAACTGGTTAGGTGTTAAAACTTGTTCGAACGTTGTACCAACGTCGTAGTTTCGGTGTGTGTTTGGCGGGTACACACGTGGGGTTCAGGATTCGAGCCTCCTAGAGCAAAAGTGAATGGAATGTGAAATGGATCTTCTGGACCCTTACACTCTCTTGAACATTATATTGTAGAATGTCCCATACTGACTGATTTTCGCCCTCCTGGGCTAAGGTATGCTGAACTGTGTAACTACTATATGAGTACTGGAACACTTGATGATATATTGGACTTGTACCCAAGATTGACCAAGTAATGTATCAATTATACAATGTATGTATGTGATGTAACTATATAACCTGAGCTTGTAAAAGCACCTTAATCACCTTCAGTGATTAAGTGCTTAATTGCTCACAAGTTTCTTTATCAGCTATCTCACCCTGTCAGAGTAAAAGAGACAAATGTATGTGAATGCATGTGTGTGTGTGTATATATGTATGTATATGTGTGTGTGTGTATGTGTATAAAGTATATATGGAAGCTGATCAGAATTACATTTCACCTTTGTAAATGCACATTAATGACACTATGTAAAAGACATCGACCACTTTATGTAGGGCATACGTAAATCTGTGTATCTATGTATTTACGTATGTAGGTTAGCTTAGCATCTTAAAAGCACCGTATCACCTTCTGTGGTTGATTGTTCAATAAACCCTTGAACTATATGTTTAACACATCTCTAACCCTGTCCATGGAGGACAGAAGAAAATGTATATACAGTATGCTGGTTAGCATTGTAAATGTGTGGCCACGTCTGTGGTAGAAAATAATAATAAAAAAAAAACTACTTGACACATAGAGTAAACAACTGTAGAAAAGGAAGCCAGGTACACTCACCAAGTTGGGTATGAGAGGGTCCGGGTAGGAGAGGAGGACCTTGTAGGGCACCAGATGGACCTGATCGAGACCCTGGCGCTGCCAGGTCTGAGCCACCCAGCGGGCTACCCCCAGCTCCCCGTCCGTTCCGCCGAGGTGCGGCTCCAGCGTCAGGTGTCTGAACACCGCATGAGTTAACAACATAATCCGTACTCTAGAAGCTTTTTATATATAGTCAAGAAAACATACATACATATATATGCAAACAAGCCTGAATGGTCCCCAGGACTATATACAACTGAAAACTCACACCCCAGAAGTGACTCGAACCCATACTCCCACAACTGGTATGTACAGGGACGCCTTAATCCGCTTGACCATCACGACCGGACAAAAGGAAGTGATAGCCGAGGCTATATGAACCACTTCCCCGCCGGCACTCGGATGGTAATCTTGGGCATAGCATTTTATCAAATCACCTCATTCTTTGGGGCACACGTGAGGAACACAAATGCAAACTATTTGTGTTCCTCACGTGTGCCCCAAAGAATGAGGTGATTTGATAAAATGCTATGCCCAAGATTACCATCCGAGTGCCGGCGGGGAAGTGGTTCATATAGCCTCGGCTATCACTTCCTTTTGTCCGGTCGTGATGGTCAAGCGGATTAAGGCGTCCCTGTACATACCAGTTGTGGGAGTATGGGTTCGAGTCACTTCTGGGGTGTGAGTTTTCAGTTATACATATATATATATATATATATATATATATATATATATATATATATATATATATATATATATATATATATATATATATATAACAGATATTCTGGGGTGTGAGTTTTCAGTTGCATATAGTCCTGGTGACCATTCAGGCTTGTTCGCATATATATATATATATATATATATATATATATATATATATATATATATATATATATATATGTTGTTGAATATGAACGAAAGGGTTAGATTAATGATTCTAACACGAGTCTTTTCAATATTTCTTATGTTTTTCTTCACTGTCGAGGGAAGTTGAAAAATTGACTCTCCACAGTTCATTTTCACACTATTTTCATGGTCTGATGCCTAAGGGATGCGTTTCGCAAGGCACTCCTTACATTTTTAAAGACAAATTACCCATATGTTGTTGATTTAGCTACTCAGAACGAAATGTCCATGTAGCACGGGCTATGGTGAGCCCGTAACATTTTCCATACTCTGTTAATGCTTATACTGGCTTGGGGTGAGGTGATACAGGACATGATTGAGAAGAACAAGTGGATTAATCTTATCCTTACGGTCATATTCTACAACGTTAATCTTATCCTTACGGTCATATTCTACAACGTATGTTTACAAGAAAGACTGCTCCACAAATTCGTGCATCATGGGATACGTTTCGAACTGACGTAAGCAGGTATATAATATATATAGTTGTGCAATTAGCAAAAGAAGGTGCCAAACTCAGTATATATGTAGGCAGAGAATTATGTATAGGTTGAAGGTCGACACACACACACAATGATCACCACATTCAAGATTCTCAAGGGAATTAATAGGGTAGATCAAGTTCAAGTTCAAGTATGTTTATTGAGATAAGCAATAAATACATCTCAAAGGGATACAGTAGCTTAGGCTATTTCTACCCCCCTTAGGGTAGATAAAGACAGTCTATTTAACACAAGGGGCACACGCACTAGGGGACACAGGTGGAAACCGAGTACCCAAATGAGCCGCAGAGATATTAGAAAGAACTTTTTTAGTGTCAAGAGTGGTTGACAAATGGAATGCATTAGGCAGTGATGTGGTGAAGGCTGACTCCATACACAGTTTCAAGTGTAGATATGATAGAGCCCAATAGGCTCAGGAACCTGTACACCAGTTGATTGACAGTTGAGAGGCGGGACCAAAGAGCCGAAAAGAGCCAAAGCTCAACCCCCGCAAGCACAACTAGGTAAGGACACACACACACACACACACACACACACACACACACACACACACACACACACACACACACACACACACACAGTTCTCACGTGTACCTTCAGACAAACTCTAGACTTGCTACTTCAAGTCTTGGAACATCTTACCTAAGGGAACGCCTGATGTTGTCTGGATTGATGTTCTTTATAATGAAGTTCTGGACGTCAGCAAGAGTAACATCATCCCTGCGGGTGACATCTTTTGGGTCATCCACTGACATCACCACCGCAACTGTTGGCACAGAAACGTTTCCAAAGTTAGTAGATAAATCTACATGTTATATTTTAATTATAAATATGGCAAATATTAGAACGAGACTCAATAACAGTTATAAAAACCTCTGCATCGATAGTGCAGTACAGGGGGCCTGACGGCTGAGTGGACAGCGTTCGGGATTCGTAGTCCTAGTGCGCGGGGATCGATCCCCGGCGATGGCGGAAACAAATGAGCAAAGTTTCTTTTACCCTGATGCATCTGTTCACCTAGTAGTAAATAGGTACCTGGGAGTTAGACAGCTGCTACGGGCTGCTTCCTGGGGGATGTGTAACAAAGAGGAGGCCTGGTCGAGGACCGGGCCGCGGGGACGCTAAGCCCCGAAATCATCTCAAGATAACCTCACACTAGGCTGGTTAAAGCAGCGGCCGTCCTCACACTAGGCTGGTTAAAGCAGCGGCCGTCCTCACACTAGGCTGGTTAAAGCAGCGGCCGTCCTCCTTAGACACATTCATCAATTTTAACATACTCTGTATTAAACATTGGTTTGTTCTCATATATAAATTAATATTATACATACAAATAGTTGTATGTATAATATATACATACAACTATATACATAGTTGTATGTATAATATATACAAATAATTTATAGTTGGCCGTAGGTTAGGTGTTTAGGTTCTGTTGGCGATTATTTGAATTCGAAGTACGTGGGTGAAGCATTTATAGAATTGTGGTTCGAACAGAGGACGTGAGTGAAGCGTTTGATCCTGAAGCGTTCGGACGTCATCAGTTGTGTGTAAACCGTTTTTCATTCATAAACAGGGTTTGGCGGCTGTATTAACGAGCTTGGATCTTTGTTTGCGAGGACGGGCTGCGGTAGAGATGGGCTCGTTCTCGACTCACAACTGAGAATTCTGGGTAAAAATTTCGTGTGGGACAGAAATGATTGGGCACATCACCTAATGTACCTGTTCACCTAGCAGTAAGTAAGTACCCAGGAGTTAGTCAGCTTGTGAGGACAGTAATTCCTCCTTGAGAGGGGGGGGGAGGGACCTTGATATAAGCCTTAAGTGTATGAATACACCCTGGCTGCCTGGCCCCCCAACACAATTAATTATTAATTACATTCATCAAATTTCATAAAAACAGATTTTCACTAAATGTCATTTATCTTAGGCTATGGATTCCTGCATCAAAATACACAGCTTAAAATTGTACCTAAAAACTCCCATAAATCACATAATCACGATTCCTATATAGAACTGAATGTGTTGTATGTAAGCTGCTTAAACTTACATACAACTCAACAAATTCTCAAAGCACACAGCGCACGATAACTCAAAAGAAACAAGAAAATCTGTGTCAAACACCATTTGGTCACCACTTGGTCCGGGAGACATCTCCCGTCACGCAGGGTGCAGTTGCGCCTCCACAGATCTCCAGTATCATCTTTTGATACTGGTAATGGCTCGAAAGGGCCACCACTTACGGGCTATTCATGCCCGTGCCACCTCTTGAGTGGCTTAATCTTCATCAATCATCAATCAATCAATCTGTGTCAAAACACAGTGTATACAAGACCACAAATGCGAAGCTTCAGGCGGACATAGAACGCCTGTCCACTGCAAAATCAACTTCCTGTCATCCATCCTCAATTCCTCTACACATAGCAACTCCTTGAATGATTCGCTGAGTGTTATCTTATACAAAATGTATAATCTTAATTGAGAGATAAGCAGCCGTCAGCTGTGTATCTCCCAGGATGTGTGATACACAGCTGACGGCTGTGTGTATCCTGTATCCACATCCTGTATTCACATCCTGTATATCTCCCAGGATGTGTAGTATTGGGTGACGCTTGGCACTAGTGAGGATTATAACAGGTGGTAGCGAGACAGCATAGTTCGCATCCTAGTACTGTGGCTACTGAAATAGTCGCACAGTACCCCACCCCCGCTACTTGGACACTGGCACACGCACTCACGCACACGCACACGTTAATGCTTAAGTATACACCTATAAATAAAATATACATATGCCAGCACATGTAAACGGGTTCAATTGTAAATATTACAAAAACCCAGATGATAAGCTAGTCATTGTATCAATGGACTCATGCATAAGAGGCGGGATTCAGGAGCTGGAGCTTTGAACTTTGACTACACAACTGATTATATATATATATATAATCCTCTCGTCACAATTCCCATACGTTTTTAAACGGTTTCACTACACAAATTATATATTTACAATGACTGAAAGTAGGCCTAGATCTTGTTAATGAGTAAATATGGTTGTTGTTTAAGATTCAGCTACTGGGAACAAGAAGTTCCAAGTAGCACGGGCTATGGTGAGCCCCGTAGTGGACTGACCTGGCACAGGAGCGGGGCAAGTAGCACGGGCTATGGTGAGCCCGTAGTGGACTTACCTGGCACAGGAGCGGGGCAAGTAGCACGGGCTATGGTGAGCCCGTAGTGGACTTACCTGGCACAGGAGCGGGGCAAGTAGCACGGGCTATGGTGAGCCCGTAGTGGACTGACCTGGCACAGGAGCGGGGCAAGTAGCACGGGCTATGGTGAGCCCGTAGTGGACTTACCTGACACAGGAGCGGGGCAAGTAGCACGGGCTATGGTGAGCCCGTAGTGGACTTACCTGGCACAGGAGCGGGGCAAGTAGCACGGGCTATGGTGAGCCCGTAGTGGACTTACCTGGCACAGGAGCGGGGCAAGTAGCACGGGCTATAGTGAGCCCGTAGTGGACTTACCTGACACAGGAGCGGGGCAAGTAGCACGGGCTATAGTGAGCCCGTAGTGGACTTACCTGACACAGGAGCGGGGCAAGTAGCACGGGCTATGGTGAGCCCCGTAGTGGACTTACCTGGCACAGGAGCGGGGCAAGTAGCACGGGCTATGGTGAGCCCGTAGTGGACTGACCTGGCACAGGAGCGGGGCAAGTAGCACGGGCTATGGTGAGCCTGTAGTGGACTGACCTGGCACAGGAGCGGGGCAAGTAGCACGGGCTATGGTGAGCCCGTAGTGGACTTACCTGACACAGGAGCGGGGGCCAAGTTATGAGCCTGCACGCATTCTTTAACAGCCGGGGTATGGGTGAAGTGAAACAAGGGTGGGGGTAGCAACCTCTACTCAACGGAATTGACTCAAACAGCACGTCTTCCTAAGGTTCCCCAACGTCAGGAAACTGACGTGCTAAAGTGCGTTTATCCTAACCTACCAGAGGACCCAAAACACTAAACGGGACAGTATGTCAATTTCGCGAATCGTTTCCATTTTCTACTACGACGATTTTTGGGCCCTAGGTAGAGTATATGTCAAAATGTGACTTGCTATTGGGATGACGGGTTGCCCGCTATACCAATGCTGCAATGTCTCTATTAAGAGCCGGTATTCGACCCAAACGGGAGACTTTGTACCCCAAATGAGCTCCTGGTGCTCAAGATAGCTTCAGCGTCAAATATCCACACGCGACTTTGAAGCTCTGAGTCCACAGTGCTCCTGTAAATATGCGCAGAAAACCATTCTTGAGTCACTGGAGACATCTCCCGTCACGTAGGGTGCAGTCGCACCTACACAGATCTCCAGTATCAGCTCTTGATACTGGTAATGGCTCAAAAGGGCCACCACTTACGGCTATTCATGCCCGTGCCACCTTTTAGGTGGCTTAATCTTCATCAATCATTCCTGGGCGACGGCTAACAGCTACAACACAAACTAGTATCTTCGTCAGACAGCTGGCAAATGAACTTTAGTGGGGATAAATGGCGTTAACAAAATAAGATTTCTGCATGGGCGCGCCTCTGGTGCTTCAAACCCAGTGGACAACATGCCCATGTTATCTTGAGGTTATCTTGAGATGATTTCGGGGCTTTAGTGTCCCCGCGGCCCGGTCCTCGACCAGGCCTCCACCCCCAGGAAGCAACCCGTGACAGCTGACTAACACCCAGGTACCTATTTTACTGCTAGGTAACAGGGGCATAGGGTGAAAGAAACTCTGTCCATTGTTTCTCGCCGGCGCCTGGGATCGAACCCAGGACCACAGGATCACAAGTCCAGCGTGCTGTCCGCTCGGCCGACCGGCTCCCCGATCTCGGGGATGCTCGGATGTGGTTGAGCAACCTGTCATCTCACAAAGAACGTCGCTTTTCGCTCGTATGCGTTACATACGGCCAAAAATTGTCGTACTAGAAACTAGTAGCGGCTGGCGAAAGTGACAATACTTTCCCGTTTTCTGTTTTGGGTCCTCTGGTAGGTTAGGATAAGCGCATTTTAGTACGTCAGTTTCTTGACGTTGGGGGACTTTAGGAGGACGGGTTGGAGTAAGAAAATATCATAGAAGAACCGTATAAACAGACTACAGCAGCAAAAGTAATAATTACCATAAATTGAGAGCGACGGGTCGCTTCATGCAGGTCGGCGTTCAATCCCCAACCGTCCCCACAAGTGGCTTGGCACCATTCCTTTCCCCTCCGTCCCATCCCAAATCCTTATCCTGAACCCTTCCCAGTGCTATATAGTCGTAATGGCTTGGCGCTATCCCCTGCTAACTCCCTCCCTCCTTGTTGTATGTGCGTGGGTATACACATGCGTATACACATGGGTGTGTGTGTATACTTATCAGTACTCTCCTGTACGAGTCATAAATACTCATACGTAATTTAAGTAACACAAAAGCGAGTAGCGAATAACACTTAAGTCAGCCAGAGGCTTAGGGCCCGCACAGAAATATCCCTACCCAAAACAAAACAAATAAATACTGCTTACCAATCAGTTTCTACCGGAAAGCAAGGTCTAACTCAGCCTAACTAATCGTGTAGTCCCTGCCCGCCAAACACACACCGAAACTACGACGTTGGTACAACGTTCGAACAAGTTTTAACACTTCCTAACCAGTTATAACAACCAATATAGCAAGTTGTAACAACGTTCTAATACGTCATAAACACGTTAAGCCAAGATGTAACAACTTTATTACAAGTTGTAACAAGCGGAAAATAGAGA